ATGTGAATATCAATATAACATTAAGAAAAAAATAACTTATACAAAATATAAATTAACTCGACTTGACTCAAACTATATTGTTCACACAAAATTATTGTTGAGCTTTAGAGATTAAAAAATAAGAATAATAAGTTATTACGTTGTGTATTAAGCATTGTTAGTTAAAACTTATCAATTTACCAAACTTTATCAATAATATGTGACTCATAACTCAAAATTACGTCATCTTTATCGTCCTCCAATACCAAATTTATAAATACACCTTATAAACATTATCTGTGGACAGTGAATTAGAATGCAATGATTACTTTTCCTCAATCTTATATTTCCATTCTACATTGTCCTTTCTAGAAACGTGGGAAAATGGCATTTTAGCTGTTTTTAATTAATTATTTTGTATTTTTATCTCGGTTTGAATTTGTTGTCTATTCTCCATTGTAGTTTGGCACAATTGAACCAACAACGTAATGCATGTGGACAAAGGCCATGTGTTCGTTACTAGGAATCCTAAATTACTTGCTAAATCCTATACGCCAAGGAATCCCAAGTTAAGGATAACAAGTACGGAGTAAAACTTTATCCACTACAAATTGGAAAATACTTGGTGTACTCCCATTTTAAACTCTCAACTTGTACTCCCTCTTACATGCTCTTGATGTAGACATTTTTCTGTGGACCCGCATGATGAAAATAACCAATCCTGATTTGCCACTTCAGAGAGTATAAATGAGGGAATAGAATTTTGGGAGTCTAAATAGTAGAACTCCTACAAATTTTACCAAATAATCAAATATTGACCTATGATATAATTTTTTTTTCAAATATCGAGAAAATCCACAATTATTATTTAAAAATGTACATCGGGTAAAGTGGCTAAATTCTATTTATTCTTTTTAATGACTAAATTATATTCATGTATAGTAGCGATAAATCATACTAAGATAATCTTATGCAATGATTCAACTGAGAATGTGTTAACAATAATCAAACTCGTGATTTTCAAGTACGAGAATTATATTATACTCACTCAAACATCATTTTCATGACAATATATTGCTACATTATTATTAATTGATACAAGATGAACTTATTTTGAATTAATGACTTTAATTATGCAAAATTCAATTAATTAATATTTGTCTCATTGTTACTTTTATTTTTAACTTGGGTGTTCCTATTTGTACCACCCTCTAGTCAAAAGTAGATATAAATCACATTGAAATTGTAAAAATGATAAAAAATTCAACAATCTTATAGGTGGTGTAAATAGTCATAGGGGTGTTCATATTGCTATTTACACCATCCTGATCAAGTGCGATTTATGAGATTCAATTAATTTTCTATTTACACCACATATAAAACTAACACACATATTAAATGGTAGTGTAAATAGCAATTAGGGTGATGCAAATAGCATTCCCCTTTAATTTTTATTGATATCCAAATATCGGCAATATACATGCATTTTTATTTTATTTTATAAAATTATATTCTATCACTTTATATTACTAATAAAATGACATAATGCATAATTTCATTAAGCACATGATATATAAGGTTATGATGACACTATAAAACATAAAGTGACTTTTAACCTTTTCATCTTTATTAAATTATCAGCTACACTACGTAATTAAAACATATAAAAATTGTGACAAAATTTCAATTTTCTTTCCTCTCAACGTATAGTTTGACCTATATATTTGGCTCAGGGGATCGGAAATACACAATTTATTTTTAATTTAAAGCACAACATTTTCAAACAAACAAAAAAATGTCTGTTCCCTTGTCTCTTTGTGCCGCCTCACCAGCCATACAATCACAACATATGTCCGTTTAGAGATTAACGGGTGAATGAATGGTGGAAATTAAATGTGGAATTACAAGGATAGATAATTACGTAGAAATAGGTTACGTAGAAATAGATGGGACATAATTCTCATAATTGAAAGTTATAAATTTAAACATGGTATATACAATCTTTCTAGTGTAATTTATTTATTATGTATAGTTTACAATTTATTAAACACTAACATGAAAATACTTAGTTTAGGTTTTTAGTTAAGACGAAACTCATAATTCAATTAGTCAAGTTAAGTTTGGCACAAGATAAAATTAGACAAGTATTATATACATATAATAATAGTATAGTATCTGTTTCTCACTAATAACAACATTATATTTTTTTAACTTGTTCTTTCTAATCTATCTAATAAGAATCATTAAAAGAGATCAAATTTCATATCAGTCTAATAAAAAGTATTTAATGATGGCCCTTTCAAATCTTTCTATATAAAAACATCATTCAATTCATCAATTGTGATTGTTAGAATTTAACATTAAATGTTGTTAAAACTCTATAATTCATTCTAATAAAAGTCTTTTGTCAACCCAATAAACTCAATAAACATTAAAAAAAAAAAAAAAACAACTCACACACAACCAATGCCGCTCTAATAAATTTAATATTCATCACTCCTTCCCACACCATTTATTTATA